AGAAAACAGCTCTATAGCATACCAAGTTTAATTCCATTGGCTCCGTATGCAGAAATGACATTATTGAATGCTCGAATAATTCAAGTTTCAGTTTTTTGAGTTACCTTCATACTATTTTCTGAAGTGTGCCAAATGGAGTCTACAGCTGTTTTATTTCCATATGTCTGTGAACTTATTAAAACATCTTTTGGATAATGATCAACCTGTTAAGTAGCTAGCTGCCTTTTATATTGGTTTCACTGTATTTCTCTGATATCTTCTTTTGAGTCTGCCCAGGTCGTTAGCCTATGTTTAATATGGTTATTGGTGCTCTTGTTATTGAATGGTTTGCTTTCTTTATATATTTTGGATATTGGTCCATTGCATGGTGTGTGATTTGCAAATATGTTATTTGCTGTTATGTGTGTGCTGTCTTGTTACTTTGCTGATTCCTTCTCCACTGTGCAGAAGCCTTTTGGTTTTATACAATCCCACTTGTCTATTTTGTCTTATATTGTCTGTGATCTCGGGGTCTACACTACAATGTCATAGGGGTATTTTTTGCTATGCTTTTATTTGATACTTTTATAGTTCAAGTCATTTGTCCATATTGGGGTTATTCCTGGGTAAGGGATAAGATAACTTTCATCATTCTCCTGAATATAGATAGTCAACAGTTTCAATACTAGTCATTGAATAGGCTTTGCTTTTCTCATTATAACTTTCCTGGTACTTTTGTGAATAACTTGACCATAAGTTAGTGGGTTTATTTCTGGCCTGTCTATTCTATTCTGGTCTTTTAGTTCATGTTCCATGTTTTAATGCCAATAGCATGTTATTTTTATCACCACAACTTTGAAGAGAATTTTGAAATCCAGTAGTGATACTGATAGAGTTTGTCCTCTTGCTAAAGTTGATTTTGGCTGTGGTTTGAATAAGTCTTCTAAAATTTGTTCAGAAATTAATGCCCAAATTCATATGCTGATGTGCTTAGGGATAGAGCTAATGGGGACAAGGCTAATTAGGATTAGTTGGAGTCATGAATATGAAAGTTATGATGGGAGTATTGGCTTTATAAGGAGAGAGACACTACCTGCCACCCTCCTGCTTCTTGCCTATGGTATGTTCACTGCCAAATACCATGCAGCAGGAAGGCCCTCTTACTAAAGCCTACCCTGAACTCTTTGGTTATAGCCTATAAAACTCTGACAAATAACTCTAAATGGTTTATAAATTATCAGTTAACAAGCATTCTATTTCAGGAACAAAGAGTAGACTAAACGCATGTTGGGGTTCATGTAAGTTTTAGATTACTTTTCAATTTCTATGAAGCATGAATCGTTTTCTTATAAGACATTTATCATTTTTAGTCTACAGATCTTTCATTTCCTTTCATAAATTCATATACACACACACATTATTGCTTATATTTTCTGTTTGGTGTGTGTGTGTGTGTGTGTGTGTTTCTGGGAACTGAACCCAAGATATTGTGTTGGCTGCGTGAGAATTCTACCATGTATGTAATCTCATCAACCATTTTTTTGTGCTATTGTGAAAGAGATCACTTTCTACCTTTTGTTTCCAGAGAGCCATCACTAGCATATAGAGGTGCTATTAATTTTTAAATCTATCTTTTTTCTTCTTACAAATTGCCTAATGTATTCAAATTTATATACATTTGAATGCCTCGTTTCCCCATTTGCCATAGTACTGTCACATAACATGTAAAAAATGATTAGAGTAAGGACAATTATTTCTAAATAGGGCTCACTTAATAAATATTTTATATACCCAACTATAAAACTTAGGTGGTCCTTTGGAATTTCTATTCTCCCCTTTTATTAAGAACAGATTCTTGTTGGGCAGTGGTGGCGCACACCTTTTAATCCCAGCACTTGGGAGGCAGAGGCAGGCAGATTTCTGAGTTCGAGGCCAGCCTGGTCTACAGAGTTCCAGGCCAGCCATGGCTACAGTGGGATCCTTTCTCACAAACAAAACAAAACAACAACAACAAAATCAATGTGAGATGGATATAAGGGATGGATGGATGGAGAAATAGAGAGGTGACAGACAGATTGATGCAGAGAGACACAGAGAGAGGGAGGAGAAAAAAGTATCTTTGGTGGAGACGGTAGCATTTCATATGTTATCACAGTTGGCCAGAACAAAGAATTTCCCTTCTTGCAGTCTCACTGAATGTCTCTCGTCTCCTATGGGATTAGACTGTCCCACACTAGATTGAACAGAATACTGGGACTGAGCATGCTTGTCTCATTGTTGACCTTACAGGGAAGGCTGTAAATTTTTCATCTTAGGTTATGATGTCAGCTGAGACTTTGTCACATGTGACTTTTATTTTGAGGAACATTCTTTCTTTGTCAAAGTCATTGAGAGTTTTACATCAGGAAAATAAGTTGAATTTTGACAGTAACTGTTTCTGCATCTCTTGAAGTAGTTATATAGCTATTATATTGTTAACACGATAAATTACATTAACTGATTTGTGTATGTCGAGCCATCCTTGCACCTAGAAGATAAATCCTACATATAATATTAGTGAGCCTTTGATGTGCAGTTGAAAACAATGTGCTTGCCGGGCAGTGGTGGCGCACGCCTGTAATCCCAGCACTTGGGAGGCAGAGGCAGGTGGATTTCTGAGTTCGAGGCCAGCCTGGTCTACAGAGTGGGTTCCAGGACAGCCAGGACTACACAGAGAAACCCTGTCTCGAAAAAAAAAAAGAAAGAAAGAAAGAAAAGAAAAAAAGAAAACTATGTGCTTGAAGGTTTCTAAGCTATTGTCATTAGCAAAACTGGACTGCAATTTTCCTTTCTGGGGATATCACTGGCTTTGGTCAGGTGACATAAGGTTAGAAATATGCCTCCTTCCTTCAGTTTGCAGAAAGAATTTGCGAAGTACTGCTACTGACTTTTTTCTTCAAATGATTCAGCTATCAAGCCATATGGTTCTGGGTTTTTTCTTCAATTAGAGAGTTTTAATGAGTGATTCAATGCCCTTTCTCGTTATTGGTCTATTCAAATATCCTATTTCTTTCCAGTTCAGTCCTGCTATGTTATGTTTCTACAAACTTATTTTTTTCCTTAATTCCTAATCTTTAAGTTCATTAACTGTTCATAGGAATCGCTTAGAAACCTTTGTAGTTGTTATTAGTTCTCTCTCCTTTCATTTTGTATCAGTACTTTTTAATTTCCATGTAATCTAGTTAACAGTTTTCCAGTTCATCTAACTTCTCCAAAATCCAACTCTCTTGGTGATCTTTGCTATGGATGTTATGGTGCAGTCTGTTTGCTCGCTCTGACCTTTACATTTCCCTTCTATTAACTTTCAAGTTAGATCGCTCCTGCTTTTCTAGTATCTTGAGAGTGTAGTGCTAGATTATTTATTTCATGATTTCTTCCATTTCGATATAGACGTTACTATAAATACTACTCTTAGAATTGGTTTGGCTGTAACAGCACTTCTCATCCACAGTGGCCCTAGACCACAGAAAACACAGATGTAAATATGCAGTGAGACTACTTCCTGTGGTTTCCACTCCAGAATTAAAAGATGAACCATCAATTACTAGGGCTAAAGGGACACTGGGATTTGTCACAGTTCTTCTATCTGCATAATGTTGAGTGGAAGACAAGCTCACCTGGCTCCATCTTAAAGACAGAAGGACTGATGTACACATTCATTATTGGCAACTGTTCCAGACATATCCACAGGACCAAGCTTCTACCTATTAGAGACACCTAGAAGCCCTAAAGGAAGCTGGCATACCCTAATCTCCACAGTGTTCCAAGAACAGACAGGTTTGGGTAACCAGAGAATGGAGGGCTAGCATAAAATCTCTGGCTATACATTTTGATGGGAGTCTCCTTTCTTTATTCATTTAAATTTCATTTGATAGAAACTAACAAACACTGGGCAGTCAGCACTCAAGTCGTGATGTCTAAATTTTATATCTATCAACATAGTTTGGTTTTTCCCACATAGGAGAAAGTTTTAAGTAAAAGTTATTGGACTGGGATTAAAACATACAGTGCACAGATAACTTTGCTGAGTGTTCTAAAACCTCATTGTTCTCAATGGGCCATGGTCTGGTTGGCTCAGTGCACTGTGTCAGGGGTGTAGTCTTGATGAAAGTGTGAAATCCTTTTCTGTTCTGAAGTACCAGAAAGACTTGACAGTGGCAAAGAAAGCAGTGTTAGTAAACAAAGCCAAAGCAGGGAGGCGGGAAAGCATCGCTAACGGAAACATGACTTTATTACTCCTTTTTCCTCATGTCAGGGCTCTTCTCAACCTCTGCCAAGGGCACGCCTTCCTCCGTGTCAACATCACTACATAAAATATCCAGGTGGAGACCCGCTAGTTTAAAGAACTTCCCTCCATTCTAATGCTGCTTCTCATGTCACGTTTTCTTGATAATCACAGTTGAAGAGTGAAAACTCCTCTCAGAAGTATGGATTTTACATTATATCCCTGACACTGGGAAGCACAGTAGGAGACGTGAGGTAGGGAAGAGTCAGCTCTCTAAGTCTGAAGTGTCAGTCATAGGTCTCAGGATCTGAAATCAGTCTCTTATTAAGGATAGAGTCAGTAGGTAACAGTGGGACAGGATTTCAAGCTAGAGGGACATGATGTAACACAGAAGGGACATTTGTGGAGTGCAGTGACGCAAGATGGAAAAACTTCCAATAAAACCTCCCTTCATGTCACAATTATTGACTTAATGACATTACCCAGGCATCTATCTATTTATTTGTTACTGTAGGTTTTGATCTCTCTCCCTCCTTCCCTCCCTCCCTTTCTCTATGTCACATACGCACACATGCATGCACGAATACGCGTATACACCCCCCCCAAATCTGTGGTTGATTTGTCACAGATAAACTGAGTACTGCCCATATATACTTTAGCTCATAGTTTAAGGGCTCAGTGATAGCTGTAGAGGTGAGACCACCAAGCACCTGGTCACACTGTGTCATACAGAAGAAATGAAGAAAGACAGTTCAGCTTTTCCCTTTTTTCCCCTTTTATTCAGTCCAGGACCTAAATGTGGGGGCATGGTGCCACCCACATTCCTTCATCAGTTGGGTCTTTCCACTTCAGTTGAACGTCTCAAAAACTATTCACAGGAATGCCTAGAAATGAGTCTTCTATGTCGTTATAAATCTAGCAAAGTCAGCAGTGACGTCAATCAGCATGACAGAGAAGTAAAATAAACATAAGACTCCCTTGCAGAAGACAGGAACCCCATTACATCCTAACAGCTCCTTTCATTCACACGATATCATCATGTTTTAACCTACCTCTTTGAAAATAAGTTGTAGATATGTATTTCATCATTTAATTATTTTAGACATACATTTTTTTTTAAATCAAGAAGCTCAAGTTTCTAAATTGGTGTTTGTTCCCACAGTAAGAAAAAACAGTATAAAAAGAAGTTGATATAACAAAACAACACAGTGGCACTCTGTGCGCCTGCGCCTCTCTAGGGGTTCCCCTCTACTGCCACTCAGCTGTCGCTGCCACCATGAGGGAGATCTTGCACCTGCAGGCTGGGCAGCGCTGCAGTGCCACCCTTTCAGTGCACCAGCTGGTTGAAAACACAGTGATCTGAACCATCTAGTGTCCTCCACCGTGAGTGGGGTCACCACTTGTCTGCGATTCCCTGGCCAGCTAAATGCTGACCTGCGGAAACTGGCTGTAAATACGGTGCCCTTCGCTCGCCTGCACTTCTTCATGCCTGGCTTTGCCCCCTTGACAAGCGTGGGAAGCCAGCAGTGCCCTGATAGTTCCTGAGCTCACCCAGCAGATGTTTGATACCAAGAACTTGATGGCTGCCTGTGATCCCCGCCATGGCTGCTACTTGACTGTGGCTGCTGTGTTCAGGGGCCGCATGTCTATGAAGGAGGTAGATAAACAGAGGCTTAACGTCCAAAACAAGAACAGCAGCTATTTTGTTGAGTGGATCCCCAACATTGTGAAAACAGCTGTCTGGGCCATTCCACCTCAGGGCCTAACAATGTCCTCCACCTTCATCGGCAACAGCGCCACTATTCAGGAGCTGTTGAAACGCATCTCAGAGCAGTTCACAGCCATGTTCTCACACAAGGCCTTCCTACACTGGTACACGGGTGAGGGCATGGATGAGATGGAGTTCACCGAGGCAAGCATGGGAGCAGTGTGAACTCTTTATTCATTCACAGCCTGTCTGATAGCCATGTCCACTGTGCATCTGCTGTCCTGTGTCCTGACATCACTTTTATAGACACCACCATTAAAGCAATTCATAGCTTGAAAAAAAAGCCCAGAAAGAAATAATCAGCTGTGTGACTGGTTCTCTTGGGCCCTAATCACATATCCATTGGTGTAAGTCATATATTGAAGACTATATAGTTATTGGGAATCAACATTACTTCTCATTCTTCTTTGCTGAATTCAAATCCTAAATTGTACAGGTAATACCTCATAAAAATTTGATATGGGATACGTGCTGGTTGCATTTAATGGGAATGATTTTCACACGATTCCTTTTGCTTAGCAATCAGCACAAATTCTATATAAATTTAGCTGTAAACCAGTGCTGGGTATTTCCTAGCACAAATCAACATGATCACCAGTTTGTACACGTCACCAGTTTGAATATTTTATCATAAAAATTCCAAGTACATGGAAGGACACCAAAACTTTGCATATTCTAAATGGTAAAAAATCGATCACCGTGTTTAGGCACAAGCTTTCTCTCTAAAGAAACCCCAAATATAGTTTTCAGTACATCTTCTATTTCTTTGTCAGTCAGACTCTTAAACTCTACAAGATCTACATTGTCCTTAAAACTAAACCTCGTATAAGTGAGAGTAGAGCCAACCAAACAATGAACCCCTTCTGGGGTCTGTAAGGAACAAAATGATTTGCTTGTAAACACAGACGCAGGTGATGTCTGAAGGTAGGTATTCATGGACTCAAAATCCTCAATAGTTCGGGGCTCAAGAGTAAAGGAATAGATTTTCCGATATTTGTTCTTCTCAAGAAGGTCTGAGTTAACAAATTCTTCGTTTGGAACATACTGCTCTCTTCTGATCTGGTCCAAGTACCAGGTTCCATTCTCCTCTGTCAAACGGAAGATGGCAGGCACCTGGGGCTGATCCTTCCCAGATGTCAATTCCAGAGGTTCCCACATCTGGTAGGAACGTCCAAACCCAGCATCAACAATGTAGCCCTTTCCACTGATGGTCACCTGTACTAGAACATGAATCATGCCACTGCTGTACTTATTGGCTGGAACGTTAAAGACATATCCTCCCAACATTGTGGTTTCAAAGCCCATTTTGGATAGAGCCCAGTACAGTAGATGATTAACCTGGAGACACCACCCACCCCGCTTCTTCCTCACAATCTGATCAAAGACAGCTTCTAAACTCAGCTCCATGGGTTCCCCACAATGGATGTTCAAGTTCTCAAAGGGAATAGCCCGTATCTGGTGCTGAAGGATTTCGGTTACTGCTTCCAAGTCCAGGTTGTTCCTGGAGTTTTGATAACCAATTCTTTCAAAGTACGCTTCAATGTCCATGGTTTCCTAAGGCAAGGAAAACAATCAAACATAAACATTATCACATTTGCTTGTGAATTTACTGGAGTGGGGTGACTCTGGTTAAAACTTGTTTTCAAGATATAAAAATAGACAATGCTGACAACTATCTATATTTATTTTGCTACTATTATAGAAACTGACTACAATCACTGTTCATAACACTTAAACAAGTGTTAAATAATCTAAGAGACTTGAGATGAATGTTTCCTCATTTGTTTGAAATACAGGTCAAATGGTGAGGCAGATAATAAATTGCTCAGACGTAGTATGCTCTGCCCTCCTCCTTGTGTAAACTCAGTACAGGTACAAAGTAAAAAGGCAAACAAGAACAAATAGCAAAAAAGATTCCAATTAGAAACCCATTAAAACAGGCTTCTGAACAGTTGTCTACAGAATCAGGAGAAGTGTGTAATATAGTACACAGTTTTCCTGGTAACTTTACATAAGCATTAAGCACCTAAGACTTAGAGAGAGCAAAGGGAATTGAGTGAGACGGTCCCAGCCCCTGTTTGGCTCCTTGGTATTTGAGTCTATGTAGAAGAGAACAGAATGAGCTGTGCTTTATGGATCGCTGACCACCTAACTGCTGCTTGCCCAGGACTGGGGAAGAAGGGTGAAATGACAAAGACGATGAGACTGGAAGAGACACCTGGAGACAAATTCCAGGCATGACAGTGAAATAACAGAAATACTGGCATAAGCAACAGTCAAGATTTGGTTTTCGTCTGAAGATTAAGTTTTGAGTTGGAATTTAGATTTAGTAACTGTAGATTCATTACAATTAAGTCGGTTTTTGGCTAGGGGCTCAATACTAGCTATATGCTGTAAGAAAAACATACCTGGGTATTCTGTGACTAAATATATTTCAATTGCATATTGATGATGATGGGGCTCAAGGGAAGATCCTGTGGGTACTTGGGGAGTAGCTGGTATGGAAGGAGATGAAGGAAAATACTATTAGCTTCACATCCAGCAGGCTCACAGAGACATGATGCAAGAATGGAGCCTTCCTTCAGTCTGGTCATCAATACAGACAAGACTTAAATAAGGCTGGAGAACATACTTAGATCCTTTGAGACTTCTTAGTAAGCATTTAATACATATCTATGTTCAAAGTAGGTTGTTGTCTTCCATTCAAAAGTCTTAGAATGTTTCTTCTTCCTGGTACAAACTCTAGGAGGGACTGTTGAAAAATGAAAGGTTAACATGGTTTGGGAGGATAGCTTAGAGACAGTAGGGCACTTGCCTCCAAGCTTGATAACCTGAATTTGATCCCTATAACTTAGAATGTGGAAGGAGAAAACCAGCTCCCACAAAATTTCCTGACTGCCCCATACCTGTCATAGAATATAAACTCCAAGTAAATGTAAAATGCTGATTATAACACTACTTTTCTTGAAAGCAATGGGGTAGTTATCTGTACCATACATTATGAGGAATCACAGGACATCATAAATACAGAGAGCAGACTACACTGAATAGTGAATATCTGACCTACACAGGGAAGCCTACAGAAAGGATAATGGTGAGGGGTAGGAGCACCATAATAGTTTCTATGTTGGAACAGCCAGAAGTACCTGGATGTTCTCATAAGTACAGAGCCCAGAAGCAACAACCCAGATCATTAGTTGCCATAGGAACAGCAAGGAGTGATGAATCATGTTCCACATCCCTGGTTACTACCTAAATATAGACTACACATGGAAAGTGATGTGTGCAGTGGCCTTCCTTGAGGTAACAACTACAACAGGGAATAAAGGCAGGAAAAGAAAGTGGCAGTCTCAATGTGGATGCCACCAGAGAAGGAGAGTGACAACTTCCATGTGAAAGACATGCCACTAAAGAATCTCCTGTCATATTTGATTCTCTCACTTCTTCTGAAATGATAAAGTACAGTTCTAGTTGGTCATTTTATCAGACAAACTGGATTCACGGAAGAAATTAACAATAGAGTCAATGTTATGCATACATGTTTATAAAGTGAATCAAAGAATGAAAATGTACCTGGGGACTGTCACTAGGAGATGAGCTATGACAAGCATACCAAAGAGAACTAATGAAAAAAATTACTAGAAGTCCTTTATTGGGACATTGCACAGAGTGGTATAAATGGTCTCAAAGAGGTGTCAGATTAAGACGACTGAACAATGTGCTTTATGCAATGAAACATTTCAAACTTTGAAACTAATTACAGAAATTATGCAAGACACTACATTAATTGTGCTGAGCAGTTCTCTATAGATATAACACAACGCACAATAACATACTAGGTACATAGAAGGACAGCTTGATGTCATAGTCAAAGCTAATGAAAGATAAAGCCATGTCACAGTCAGGAAAATGCTGGCAGGAATACAAAGCAACCAAAGTTTCGAATATGAAAAGTACAAAATTGGAATAGAAAAAGAATTTAAGGTGTAAGAAGTGTGTGTGTATAAAAATTTTGCAGAAATCCTATCAGAAAAACAAGAGACATAACATCCCAAGAAAAACCAAATTCTATGTACATGACATATGAATATATCTATTTAAATTATTGAAATTTAAAATTAAGAAGAGTTACTCAAGCATCTGGGAGAGAATTAAGTAATTCTTCATAAGGAAGGTGATATCAGCCTGGCAACAGATGGTTCCACAGAAACAAGCAAAGGAAAAATAATGGAACATTGTCTACTATGTCCCGAAAGGGCATACTGTCCCTGATTGTTCTTTTGCTAGCATGTCACTGAATTAGCAGGTCAACAGGCATGTGATGACAATGTGAAACAATCATGAGTGCTATCCTGGTGAGGTGCTTCCCCTTTACCAGCCAGTACAGTGCCAAATGAAAAGCCAAGAAATCAAGAGGGTAGCATGCTGAGATGCTATAATACACTATGCATCCTTTCCATACAGGGAAAGAGTAGAAAATGGTACACATCATGGCTCCTACACAAGCCAATTTGTCTTACAGATAGATAGATAGATATAAGTAGATCATAAAACTAGACTGAGAATTGATCAGAACTGGGAAGACCTGAAGGACCATTAAAAAGTCAACTGAGAAATATCTGCTTTTCCAATACCTAACGTGAGCTGACAACATTCATATGCTGGTCAGCATAGATCTCTATCAGGTCAGTGTTCCCCGGGGGACCGGGGCTAGTGAAAACTTGTGTCATACTCTCCCTGACAAGAAGAATGACTGTCTTTGATCAGCCAAGATAGCCAGCCCTCACCGATTGGTTAGGTATCTTCTGACAGCCAAAGTTTCTGGCTTTCATCTATTGTTTATGGTGTGAACTGCAAACACTGGAGTTAAGCAGTCCAAAGTCCAACTCAGGCTCTGTAGTGGTGGTTAGCTGTTTTCTGTTGTCATGATTACAAAGCAACACACATGTTAAGCAAAATACCTGAGGGATGACTGCTCTATTTTGGATTATAGTTTCACAGGCATCAGTCTATGGTGAGCTGGCTCCATTACTGTGGGTCTGTGCTGAGATACAAGTATTATGGTGGCAGTCGTGGTGAGGCAAAAACCTCAGGTCATGGTGAAAAGAGAAAGAAGTCAGTGACAAGATGTATTCTTGAATGGCACACCCCCAGTGATGCACTTGCTCCCACCAGGCCCTGCTTCCTAAGAACTCACTTAGCTGTGACTCAATCCATTCATGAGGTGAGTACACTCACAATTAAATGACTGCCCAAAAGCACCAGCAGCTAGGGATCAACCTTCAACATTTGAGCTATTCATTCTGTATCCAAACCATAAGAAGAAATAAATCCCTAATGTAGATATATACCTACATATCCATATATATGTCTCATATAATCTCAATAAAGATTGGCCAATCTTTATTGCCATATGAGGCAGAAATATATGCAGTAAAATAAGGACAGACAAAGCTCTGGAAGAGTTGGGTTGCACACTTTACCAAAAACGACAAAGATACACTGCAGAAAATACACTCTGGGGCTGATGGGATGGCTCAGTGGGTAAAGGCACTTACTAAAAGACAGAAAGACACAATATTGATGATAATAAAAGCTAAGTACAGCGTAAAATACACAATGACTCACATGAAACCTTGACACATACTTCTCTCTACCACACGCACTGAAGATTGGAGAACATGGGATGCTGTGCACCCACGCACAAGTTGGCACAGGAGCTTGGAGAAGATTCAAGACCAAAGTGAGCTTGTGAGAATCCTGTCAGTAATTCACTTAGACTTATAGATTCTTTTTTCTCATTCCCACCATGTCTGTGGCATGGCCTTTATGATTATATATAAAGCCTTGTACTCCATAGGCTATTTGGAGGACTTTGTAATGGCTTCTGAGGCTCCCTTGCTTCTTTTGGTAAAGGCTGTACAAATAATTGTCAAATAAGTGTCCTCCCAGCACAGCTCTGGTCCAAGGACTTGTTGGTACAAGGCCTTGAAAGCATAGCTTCCTTGCTTCTTTGTTGGAAAACTTTTGATTTATAATCTATATAGGCAGGGCTGCACACACACACACACACACACACACACACACCAGATCTTCCTCAGTTCACTCAGACATGTAACTTTGCCCCAGCATTTGGGAGAATTTGAGTATGGCCAGCTTCAAATTCATTCCATAGAACTGAAATAACCAGATTAAGACATACAAAATGGGAAGGGAGGCTCCTGGGGCATCTTCAGTACCCTATAAAAGTCTTGCTGCTTTCTGCAGATCACAGGAATATTTAGTCAAATGACCAATATGTGATAGTTATACCAGCTGCTGTCAACTGTCCCTAAATGACATGGGATACCAATCACAAATTGTCCTTTTTGGATATGGCCCCCAAAGAACAGGTTGCCATGCAGAACTTTTCTGGTTTTAACTCTATGTCTCTAGAACCTCTGGATCATTCACGAAAAACACCGATTTTCGATTGTTTTAGTAAGAGAACTCCTTATTCTTTGCCAAATGGAATTGTGAACAAGAAGCCGACATAGAAACAAATAGAGAAGATCAATCCAGAAGGAGAATAGCTACAATGTTTTACTGACATACTGTCAGACTAGCAGCTGGATTCAGCATTGAGGGGCCTCGACATTTATTGCATGGATTACTGCCAATACTCAACGAGGTTATAATGGGAGCTAATGAACTGCTTGTCATTTTGTATGTGTAGTGTTTTCTCCCTTAATTCCTTTTCTTTTCTCTTTCATTTCTGTTCTGGAAGTCCACACACTCCAACTTTGTTGACAACCCTAAGCAATCTTTTTGATTAGTTGGGTGGAAGACACTAGAGTGGTTGGCTTGGCCATATGCAAAGAACACTAACAAGCTGCCCTTCCTCCGTTACAGAAAACCTATTTGGCATCCATGGCTTTGAGTAAAGGCCTCTAGCAGCCAGGCAAGGGCAGGGGATCCTACCAGGCAAGCAATCTAATAGGGTTAGTAAGGGGAAAGAGAAACAGGGGCCACAGGTGAAAATGGTAATATTAAACAGTTAGTCTTTGGCAGGTAGCTTAAAAAAAATAAAAGCAGAGTTGGCAGTTGTCTGGTGTTTGTTTGTTTGTTTCTTTTTTCTATTTTCTTTTTTTTAAAGTCAGAGTGGAGTCAATTGCCTTGAGTCTGAGGCAGCCAAACAGGAGCTGGAGAAAGGACAGAATTGTTATCAGAAAAGAGCCAAACAGTGTAGTTGACATTATACCCACAGTACAGAATAGATAAGAGTTCATGACAACAGGGTCCATGGGTCATGGGGCGTTAGCTCTGAGGACTCTTGGCATAAGCTGGCACCACACTGCTGTGCAATCCTATGGATTCCAAGGTAATGACTCAGTTGAAGTCACAGGAAATAGTCGATTTTCTGGTATTCCTTAAGACCCTACACACTTATCCTTCTTCAAGCATGACAAAAGTTCCTCCAAGAATTCCTCTGGAAATCATGGACAGCATTGTTAAAAGCATTCCAGAAGGAATCCAATTGAGGGTTACTTAAGCTGTTAACACACCTCCTAAACTCTCACAAACTTTTAAAGTAAATACCATTACGCATTTGCGACTGACAAGGAAACAGTATTAAAGGAACTAAACGGCTCTTCAAGTCTAATAGAATGTGGCTGGCTGTCACCTACTTAAAGCGTTTGTCAGAATCACCTGTGTATTGTAAAGTATTAATAACTTGTGTTCGAAGTATGTGCCACTCAAACTTTCCAAACAACCTTGGGACTGGAAATTCAGGGCTGGGTTGTGCTGTTCTCTCCCGGTCTTCCTCTTGGGAGAGGAAGAAATCCTGATTCCCAAGTCTATTAGGTAACTCCCCACTTACCGGCTACCAGGACTGCAACCAGGGGGATCCGGTAGCAAGCTGAGCGAGGTCTACTTCCCGGGTCTGCAAAGGAAGTCCCTTCATTGGTTGTTCACGTTGCTCTGCCCACTACGCTCATTTAAAAAAAAAAAAAAACAAAAAAAAAAACCCAACCCAAAGATCTCTGGGAAATGTAGTTGTAGGGCCTCACTTAACCTTGGTGAACTCTTTCTCTAGTCTGTTCTTTGGGTGCGATATCTTGTGATATATTTGAATTTCTTGTGATACTTTTGCATTTCACAGAGTTTATGATCTCTGGGAGCCTGTGAGAGTTCAGAGCTTTAAATGGGCCCTGGCAAAGCAGATCACGGACTCAAAGGAGGAAGAGGTTGCCACATGTCACTCACATTCCTAATTTATGCCTCTCCTTCCACTAACTTTTCTCCCCCCCACCCCCGTCCCTTTTTTGGGCCCGTCTACTGCTCTATCCAAAGGCACTGTGGGATGTGTATGACGTGTGTCTATACGTGTGTGGCAAAAATGACAAGTGTACTATGTATTTCTGGTTTTGATTTATACTAATGATTCTTATAGATCACGCTTGTTGTTTCTTAGCTATTTCCCTGTACACTATATTTTAAAAATTCCTTGGCACACATTGTTCTTATATTCTGGGTAGTCAGAATAGATTCCTAAGTTTGTGCTTGGTGGCAGGGGGTGGGCTCAGGTGAGGAGGGTAAGTTATATAGACTCTAGCCGACTTTCTGTCTGCTCAGTTGGGTCACTCTGACACATGCACAGCAATACCTCTCCGAGTGGTTCTGAGGGATTTTGCTTCCTTTGTTAACAGCCATTGGCTGCCAATCTGCTTGTACAGTTTTGTACCTAAACCAGCACTTCCAAACTCTTACATTACTACAAACAACCAAAGCCCAATCATCATCATCAATAACAATAACAAAACAGCTACACTGTGGCCAATACCTACAATTCTAGCATATGGGAAGTGAAGGGAGGACCATCAAGAACTCAAGGTCATCCTGAGCTACATAGCAAGTTCAAGGCCAGCTTGGGCTACATGAGCCCATTTCCACAAACACAAAACAAAGCAATGACCCTGTGGCAATGTTACCTATACCTTTGGTAATACCTCAGCTCTTGCTTTTCTGTTTACCTTAATATGATCATTACCAGACGAAGACTGCAAATACTGGGCCATCCAGTGTGAACTAGAACCCTGGCATTGGAATCTGCATGGGGGAGGGTATTCAAGAGGCCTCTGGGCTGGATTACTGGGGAGCAATGGGTTTATTTTAAAAGTTATCAATAGCATCGGTATATAGACAGAGGGACACAGTGAGACGAGGCTCCAAGAATTTTTGAAGCTCAGCTCCATGGACAGTTTGGAGGGGTCTCTGAAGAGAATAAGATGTGGAAGAGGAGGGAGCCTCTTTTTATCTTTTCTGATTCCTAAGAGGAATGTAGGTAGGGGGTGGGGACTTGGTTGTGTGACAGCAACTGGGCTAAAGCCAACAACGCTTCCCTTGATGGTAACTGGCTCTGGGACTTTCTGTTAGCTTGGGACTCTCAGATAAGGAACCCATCAATCAGTACCCATAGCTAGAGAAAAAGGCTGCTTTAAGAATTGTGACCTGAGCTGGGCGGTGGTGGCGCACGCCTTTAATCCCAGCACTTAGAAGGCAGAGGCAGGCGGATTGAATGAGTTCCAGGACAGCCTGGTCTACAGAGTGAGTTCCAGGACAGCCAGGGCTATACAGAGAAACCCTGTCTCAAAAAAAAAAAAAAAACAAAAAAAAGATTTGTGACCTGAACAGAAGCTAGATTCAAACATGAACCTTAGGGAGTCCAGTCAGAGAGCATGACATGCAGAGAGGGCAGATTCAGACTCTGAGGCACAAGTCTTAAATTTACATCCCTGGTATCAATTCGCAGCAAGCACACGGGCAGCTGGCTAGGTGAATAGAGGCTTAAGCAAGAGTGCGGTAAAGAAAGCTAGAAAGACTTAGAAATAATTACCACTGTCATTTATTCATTCCTGAGCAAAACACTTTTGCATGCAGTAGAGCTGTAAACCAAATTCTGGGCTTCCAGCATATGAGACCAGCATTCTAACCTGAGAAATACCCCCATATCTCCATATTTGTGGCCTTTATGTCTGGTACTAAATAGATGTCTCAAACTCCATTTTACATCTTGAATCAGATCTACAAGTTTACCCAGTAATGTGCTTAGGGTGTGACCTCCAAGAGCCACTAACCATTTTTGTGGCTTCTGTCAGCTTAAGTATAGAGTGGAGCAGAAGAATGACCAGGGTTATTACACAGGGGTGAAAAGGACACACATCATACAGAGCACCAACCCTTATATCTCAATACCTCCAAGAAACCTTTGATCCATTATAGTAGCCAATACTATTTTAATATAGTTAACATTTAATATACTTGACAATGGTTTTTTTCAGGTAATATTATAGGCTATAAAGATTACATGATATATAAATCATTTAATTCTAAATACCAGTACTCTCATAGTTTGAAAAAAAATCAAATACAAAAATAACTGTGTCTGCAAAATTAGCTCTGCAAGAAATTCTAAGCCGTGTCCTTGTCTTGGCACCTATTCACAGATCCTGAGTTCATTGGCTTCAGTTCTGTTTCAAGGATTGGGAAGTTACCTGGATCTGAAATGATGGCTCATTCTTTGCTTTATTCTGATGAGCGTGGCTTCTTATAAACCTTCGGCACCAAGTTTAGTCTGGGTGAATTTAATACCTGTTGTTCTCTGATTATTCATATTCAACCATTTTTTTATGTGAGTTCAACAATAAAATAATGTTGGGAGGTTTTTCTACAAATGAATAGACTCCCAAGATTTCCACATCTTCCTTAAGTAATTTTTGTTGATTAATGTTAAAAGGATTGTCATTGCATCCATAAACATTTTTATTTAATTATAACTCATACTTTTATTGGAGAAATGACAGGACAATTAAGATTTTTTTTATATAAAATGTAGGAAATAGAAGATCTAACAGGTCATTAGTTGATCAATATTAAACTGGGTGATTTCTGTTATGGATACATTTGAATATGTTTAGAATGTTTAAGACTATGAAATAATAATGGAGAATAATTTTCCTCCTTACCCTAAATAGTTATAAGTAGTTCACCATGTTTGGGCACAAACTTTTTCTCCAAAGATATGCCAAATGTAGTTTTCAGTATGTCTTCTATTTCTTCCTCATTGACGTTCTTAAACTCAACCAGATCTACATTGTCCTTATAACTGAATCTCCTACTTGTAAAGGTGGAACCCACTAAAAAGTGAACCCCTTCGAAGGTCTGCAAGGAACAGATCGACGTGCCTACAAATACAGACGATGGCGATGTCTGAAGGTAGGTATTCACATATTCGAAATCTTCGATAATGCGGGGCTCAAGAGTAAAGGAATAGATTTTTCGATATTTGTTCTTCTCAAGGAGGTCTGAGTTAACAAATTCTTCGTTCGGAACATACTGTTCTCTTCTGATCTGGTCAAAGTACCAGGTTCCATTCTCCTCTGTCAAACGGAAGATGGCAGGCACCTGAGGCTGATCTTTCCCAGATATCAATTCCACAGGCTCCCACATCTGGTAGGAGCCTCCATAAGCAGAATCTACAATGTAGTTCCTGTCACCGATGGTCACCTGTACTAGAAGGTGGACCATTTCACTGCTGTACTTATTGGCTGGAGTTATGTAAACATAACCTCCTAACATTGTAGTTTTAAAGCCCATTTTGGTCAGAGCCCAGTACAGCAGATGATTAACCTGGAGACACCATCCACCCCTCTTCTTCCTTACTATGTGGTCAAAAGTGGCCTCTAAGTCCAGATGCATGGCTTCTCCACAATGCATGTTAAGATTCTCAAAAGGAACTGCTCGCATATAGTGCTGAAGAACTTCAGTTAATGTGGCCAGGTCCAATTTATTTACTGAGTTCTTGTAGCCAATCCTTTCAAAGTATGCTTCGATGTCCATGGTCCCCTAAGGCAAACAAAATGAAAGCAGACAAACATTACAATTCTTGTGGGTATCCCAGTGTTGGCTAACTGTAGCTAGAATGTACTGTTAACATGTATACATGAAAAAGGCCTCTAAATAACTCATGGGCAATCAGATCGCTACTATTGAATGGCTTGCTTTAACTGCAGTTCATTAAATACCCTCTGTGACCCTTAAAGGAATGTTTTGTTATTTCTTGTTTCTTTCAAGTATTTGAAGGTAGAAAGTAAAACTAAATGACCAGTCAAAAGACAGATTAGATGTGGTTACCTTGGTGATAAAAGATAAATATTGCCAAAAAATAAACTTTCAACCAGTTATTCACAAAAATGGGAGAATTATGCAATAGAGAACATGGTGGCCATGCTGAGTGACTCATTCTATCACCTCACTTAACTGAGTGAGGTGATATACAAAACTCCCTTCTCAAAGATTGATACTGATTGATCAACTCATTCCTTCACTGAACAAAGTATTTAATGAACATCCTCTAGACACTCGCTATGTTTCTTTGCTCTCCAAAACATTTGCATTTCATTGGCCATTAAAATAACACATAAATAATTTTAAAACAAAAATGAGAAGTGTGTGATAGCTGTCCACAGGATAACTAAAATAAAGAGACAGAGAGTTTTTATGTGAACTAATATGCTTCACTCGCCCTCGAAGGATGGTAGCTGACAAGCCTCGTGGGTATGTGTGAGGATGGTGGGTAGAAAGTCTTCAATGAATATTCTAGAAAACGAGGATGACTGGGACCTGTCTCAGTGAGAAGAGTCGACTGAGATGAACTCTATAGGCTTATAGGCTCGGCCCCACATTTACCTGGCAACAGCCAGGTATGCCTAGCTTACTATAAAAGAGGCTGTTTGGCCCCTCACTCTTACTCTCTGCTCTTTCTTTGTTTCTCTTTTCCCCTTCCCCTCCTCCCTCTCTGACTTTATCCCTATTCTACTCCCTTCTCAACTCCCCTTCCAATGCCCTAAATAAACTCTATTCTATACTATATCTGTCATGTGGCTGGGACCCCTCCCACCTCACCACTCCTAACTCTATCAAACACATCCTTGGTTCTTTTACTTTCTCATAAAACCCAACACTCACTGTTAAAAATTGTCCTTATGGCCAATGGGGAGTTTTGCTGGAACTGAGATGAACAATGTAAATGACAGAAGGCTTAGACGAGTATTATATTGTGACAATACCTGCTGCAGTCAAAATCAGATTTCTGGCTAACCTATGGATAGTGGGCTGTCTATATAAACCACTATCTATGATCAAATGCAGTCGGCAGTACCAATTCAAAACAATTACACTGCAGGGCCAATGCCTGACTCATAACGTGTGTGGTTCAAAGGCATCAGTGAGATGCTATAGAGACTTATCTTCTCCAGCAGAGCCAAATCCACTGTAATGATAAAAGACAAACAACAACACTAACAACGAATATGCAAAGGAAGAGGAGGAAATTAGTACCAATGCTATTAGCGGTCAGGTAATATGAACTCTCCACTCCTGAAAATCACTTTAATTAATCTATTTAGAAAGTGTTTGGTAACCTGCTACCCAAGAGCCTTATTTTATTGAGACTTTGAATATGGCAATAGAATACAGACTTTGAGATGAAGCCCTTTATCGTGTAGCGCACTCTGAAATTACATGACACAGAGGGGCTGGCCACCAGATCAATGAGGATAACCTATACATAGGATTTTTCTTATACAAATATCCTCCTCCTATTGTCAGAGTTTTCCACTTTCTCCATTACTTATGTCTGCAACATCCCCCCCTACATCATTGGCTCTGTTACACCATCACCCTCCCTTGGCATTTAGACAACCTCTAAAATCTATTATTCAGTCCTAGAAAGAACAAATTGTCAGAACATCTTAAACTCTTCCTGGCCTCTATCCCAGAATTTGCACAAAGTATGTCCGGAAGAGAGAGGCAGATTAAACCAACTGGGGAAAGGTAGCTAGCCAGCATGCTTTCTAATAGAAAATTGTAGTTCTTTTTAAGCGCTATTTTTTTTCACCATCACTATCCCTGACTCCGCCCCATCCCTTCCCACCTCGCTTTCCTCCATGCATCTTCTCTTTCATTAAGAAAAGTTTTCCTGCCGGGCGGTGGTGGTGCACGCCTTTAATCCCAGCACTTGGGAGGCAGAGGCAGGTGGATTTCTGAGTTCAAGAGTTCGAGGCTAGCCTGGTCTACAGAGTGAGTTCCAGGACAGCCAGGGCTACACAGAGAAACCCTGTCTCGAAAAACCAAAAAAAAAAAAAAAAAAAAAAAAAAAAGAAAAGTTTTCCTTAAGATAAAATGCTAAAATATACTGATTGAAGAGCCATCAGAATCATCAGAATGGAATCAATGTTTGCTAGGGACCTCAATACTAGTCACACTTTGTAGTCAATCCATAATTTGGGTAGCCTGTGCCTAAGCATCTTTTAGTTATATATTATTGAAGCTGAGATTTAAGATGAAATCATGAAAACATAGAGAGTAGTTGCCAAGAATCTCAGAAGTGAAACACTAATGGGTCCGCATGTTCACGTGCAGTCTCTGTGAAGCCATAGACTCCTTCCTTTATACTTCATTATCAAGTTGAAAAAGAGAGAGAACACATGAAGGGAGCCCACTGAGAACCAGTAGGCTCTTCATCCCTGTCGTGGGATGTTTAGCGTAGGCTGATTGTCAGGTTTAATGCCGTAGAGTGTTTCTTCTCCTTGGTGAAAACTGCAGAAATAATAAAAATAACTTCAAAATACATGACATGATTTTTTATCTTTTTTTATGTACATGTGTGTGTACCTGCTTCAGTTTATTTGCACCATGTGGACCCAGCTAGCCACACAGACCAGAAAAAGGCACCAGTTCCCCAGAAATTGTGAGTCACCCGATGTGGCTACTGGTAACTGAACCCAGCATCTCTGCACAAACACTACCTGCTCTTGACTGCTTAGCCATTTTTCTCCAGCCCCAACACAGCTTTTATTATTAAAAACAAAGTGGTAGTTTTATGTAGACCATTAATTATGAAAGATCCCTAGATATTCTAAAAGAGAATTGACAAAATAGTAAAGTGGACATCTGATGTACACGGGGAAGTTTATTCGAAGACTATTTTGGGCGTGGGTAGCATCGTGACAGACACTACATTGCGAGGTCTACCAGTCATAAGTCATCTAGCAGCCAAGCAGATGACTAATTGCCATGGGACAGCAAGTATGGACACCAAAACCAGTGTGCAGCATCAGCATCTCATCTTCCTGTAGGAGATGACTGTATTTGGAAGTACTAGGGAAGGAAAACAAAGTAATATATTGATAGAGGGTGGGAAAGGGAAGAATGACCATTTACAGAGAATCGCCATGAAAAAGTCTCGTCAGATTCATTGTCTTTTTCTTCCTCTGGCAAGACTGAAGAATCCAAACCTAACAACAGTCAAGTAGCACACCAGCCACAGCAGATTTGAGCAACAAATAAACATAGAGAAAAGGTTATGAATACATGACTATAATGACAAAGCAAAATGAAAACTCACTAGGCAATTGGGAGAAGGGAGACAAGACATACATGTGAAAAATTTCATACCAAGAAAGACAACCATTAGAACCAGTAGAAGAAACAGAGCAATAGAAAGAACTTCCTTATAGGTATTTGACAGTACAGAGTCTCAATAATGTAACAATGCATTTTGGGGCTAGGAGATGTAAAGTGCCTGCCACATAAGCATGAGGCCCTGAGTGCACATCCTGCGGTATGCATCTATAACCAGTTACAGGAGGGACTGGAGACAGATGGGTCCCTGTAGTTCACTGGCCAGTCAGCCTTACCAGCTCAGTGAACTCTAGGTCTAGTGAGAGATCTTGCCTCAAAGATAAAGGTGGAGCATGACTGACGAGAACATCAGGGGTCAGTCTGTGGTCTCTCCATGCAAGCCACATAAGCACTCATCCAAGTGAGCACATACTTCAGAAAGAGGGAGAGTTAATTTTCTTTTGCAGTTGGGCTTTCTCCAGCCATAGCTAATGGTCCTGTTGCTTTGAGTCTGTGGTGGCACAATGCATCATGGCAAGACTGTACTGTGCAGAAAGCTGCCTGATTTGCTCAATCTGAGAAACAAAGAAAAAAATAGGAAGAAACCTGTCTCTCCCCGAATAGTTGGAAAGCTTGTGGCTTGCAAATCAGAGTGTGAATAGGGAACAAAACCTATTGCAATATACCTTTGGATGGTCCTTACTGAAACTACAGTGTTCTTCCCTTAGCCGAATGGGCTTATGTTCCTCCTTAAATGCAAAAATTTATTTACTCCATATCCAAGACCTCAAAAGTTTAATTGTCCAGTATCACTCAAAGGTCCAGCTCAGAATTCTCTGACCTTCAAGGCAGCCTCAGCTGGCAGCCTCTGTGCAAACTTAGAATTTAGAGTTCCATGTTGCTGAGAAACAATGTCCCAAGGTTAGACCCTCCTTCCAAAAGAAGGACACAGGTCAATAAGTCAATAAGAAACAGTGAAAACAAAGAGATGAAATTCTAGTGGGGCAAAGTGTAAGCCTGGATCTTACCAGTCAGTCACACAAGTGTTGCTACTCAGAGCTGAGCATTATTATGGGAAGGAAATCCAGCTTTATTAAGATATACTAGCCTGAACAGGTAGATGGTCAGTTTCTTACTACAATGGACATCTCAGACAAACCATTCTATAATTATAAGTGTCCTTCCTCTTCTAGGCTTCGTCCAGCAATCCTTTAGATAAGCATATTACTTTCCTTCATGTTAAGCATTATGCTTTCTTTTGATCAGAAGACAAAAAGAACATATCATGGTAGCACAAAGGTTTCCACGTAGATATGCAAATGATATGATATGCAAAGACCACAAGACATAATCAGTCCAAAAACTAAAGAACCATCACTGATTGAGGTACTGTGGCCAGTGCTTACGGCGCTGGTTCCAGTTTCCCTGCAGTAGTTGATTTG